CCAAACGCGTTTGGTGTGTACCCGGCATCAGTCTCATGATCTCCATGTCTCTTTGTGCCTCTCGGTGTTCTCCTACAGTCTTGTAAGTTTTGCTGCCTTGTCAGCCTTTTGTTTTGTTTATGAAATATTTGACTTTTGAGCTCCTTGTGTCTGCCTGCTCCTGGTTCATTCACCATAGACCCCGACAATGACACCAGAATGAATTAAAATCTTACAGTTCTCGTGAGGTCCCCCTGCTCAAGAAGGCACATGTGCAGGCCCATCTGAAGTTTGTCAATGAACACATGGATGATCCTGAGAGTGGTTGGGAGAAAGTGCTGTGGTCAGATGAGACAAAAATTGATCTCTGGCATTAACTCAACTCACCTTGTTTGGAGGAAGAGAAATGCTGACTATGACCCAAAGAACACCGTCCCCACTGTCAAGCATGGAGGTGGAAACATTTTGTTTTMGGGGTGTTTCTCTGCTAAAGGCACAGGACTACTTCATCGCATCAATGGGAMAATGGATGGAGTTATGTACCGTAAAATCCTGTGTAACTGCCCCCTTCCCTCTGCCACAATGTGTCATGGCTGGGTCTTATAGCGTGACAATGACCCAAAACACACAGCCAAAACAACAAAGGAGTGGCTCAAAAAGAAGCACATTAAGGTCATAGAGATGGTCTAGCCAGTCTCCAGATCTTAATCCCATCGAAAACCTTTAGAGGGAGCTGAAACTTCGAGTTGCCAAGTGACAGCCTCAAATTCTTAAAGGGCCAATATTATGTTTTTCGCAGGCATTTATTTAAATACTATACCATGATAAAGTATCTATGTCATCTTTAGCTGTTATTAAAATGCTGTTTTTATGTTTGAATAGAAAATAAACTTATCTTCTCATCACTTCCTCTTCTAAACACCTTGAAAATGGTCTAGGTAGGGGGTAGGGGGGCTGCCATGATGCAGTTAACTTGGCATCTGAAAATACATTTCCTCAAAGGTATTTTTAATCTGAAAAGAGCTTCACTGAGTGAGAAGTAGTGTTAGGAGAAGCAGACAGGTTCAGTTTCACTTTCAGTTTCACCCGAGAGCCTGCAGGGTTCATGGGCGGGGTGTGTGGGGAGGGTTGAGGGGGGAAGTTCGGCTTAAAGACACGTCCCAGAGGCGTTTCTGGTACCAAAAGGCGTTTCTGGTCCCCACCTGTCGTTTTGCTCCTCAGCATGGCTTCATAAAAACGTTGCAGGATTTTTCAAACATGCATGAATGGGTCAGAGCAAGGCTTTGGGCATGTTTTTTATGAGATTACAACATTATAACATGATATAAATCTCAAAAGTTGATTTCACATGATATTGCCCCTTAAATGATTGAGAGATGATCTGTAGAGAGGAGTGGACCAAAATTCCTCCTGACATGTGTGCAAACCTCATCATCAACTACAAAAAAAGTCTGACTGCTGTGCTCCAACAAGGGTTTTGCCACCAAGTATTAAGTCTTGTTCACCAGAGGGATCAATTACTTATTTCTCTTTGCAAACTACAAATAAATTAAAATAATTTATACAATGTAATTTTCTGGATTTTCTTTTAATATTCTATATCTGAAAAGGAAGAAGCGTGTACAGAAAATGGATGGATGGATGGATGGATTCTATATCTCACTTTTAAAATGGACATACCCTTAAAACTATAGACTGTTCATGTCTTTGTAAGTGGGCAAACTTGCAAAATCAGCAAGGGATCAAATATTTATTTCCCCCTCTGTACCTGTGCAGAGATAAAGGTCAAATTGGAGTTCAGTGTYTTGCCCAAGAACATTTTGGTATGTGGAGGGTAAGCTGGGATTGAACTACCAACTTGCTCTTCTTTCCTGTGCCATGTGTATTTATTCTTCATGAACTTTAGAAGTCTGGTATTTATGGAAAAGTAGTAGGAAATTTTTTGACTAATTAACTGAATTAAGATCCAGTCATGGAGTTTTAAGACGAAAATTCAACTCTGGAAGACTGATTACCTTCATCTGGCTCCTCCAGCTCCGTCACCACTCGCTCAGCCTCATCCAATCAAGATCCAGCAGTCCAAGATAAAAGCATCCTCCTCAAGTGCTCCACCTGCTCGCCAGTTGAATGTCAGCCTACCTCCTCCCCTCCTCCATCCTTCGTCTCCTTCCTTCCAGGTGTCTCCCTCTCCTGCAACCACCACCAGTGTCCTGGCCCCAGGGGGGTAAGAAAACTCCTACCCCTAACCTGATCAGCTCTTTTGAGCATTCAACTTCTCACAGCGCTCACATTCTGTTCTGGGGTCCGAGCGCCAAACCTGTTATTCATATCAATCTGTTCATTCATGACAATAAATCTATTCTAATTTCACGTTTGTGTTTGTGTGAGTCTTTCC